CGAACTTGGCGGTCGCGAGGTGCAGCATCTGACAGTGAAGTTAGTGGGACACTGGTCTGTCATTTTAACGTTGCTTTAAGCTGCCTTGCACACAATGTCAAAAGATTTCAGCATTCAAGAACTTGACGCGTTTGTCCAGCGGAAAGATTAATCAAAAAATTTGGGCAAAAGAAATTACGGTTTCTTGCTGGTTTCGCCTTCTTGTTTCTGTGGTGAGTCTCCCACAACTTGCAGAAAACGAGCATCCCTGTCAAGTGGATTGTCCACTTCTCATAGACTGGATTAGGTAAAAGTTGGTAACTTCCCGACTGCACTAGCATTAAGCACTTGATGTTTCCATGTTCAAGTTAATTCAAGTCAAGATGTGTTAGCTGTACCCAACTGAGAGCATTTTCAGCATTTTAGGTTAGCATCAGCAGACAGATTAAGTTAGCGTCATCAAAAGTACAAACTTTGATAAATGGAGACAAAGATGACAGTAGTATACTTTCGTTCCGTATTCCAGAGCAACGATAACACAATGATGAACAGAATCTTTGGGATTTGCATCCATCAAACAGAGTAGCGTTTTAATCAAATATTTCTTTATAACTGGTTTCAGTTAGTATACATTTTCGTGTCCAAAAGCAATGGATCGAGAGTCGTGCAGAGTAGCTCATTCTTTGTATTCAAAATGTAGACATACTGAGACGATCTCAGTGGCCTTGGAAATAGTTCGGACCTAGATTCCGTCTGAGAGTTCTTTAAAATTGGTATATCTAGTAGATAACACGGAAAGATGTTTGGCGAAAAAGGCGACGGCCGATTGAAAGGCCCCGGCTGTGCCAAGGTAGACTTGGAAGTTTACCACTGGGATCTGGAACATAGCTGTGCACACTGACTCGAACCGGTAAGACCACACGGGCCTCAACGCCAATCCCAAAGGTTATTCATTTCTGTCGGCTATCACGGTTATTAATGGGTCCTAATTTCTGCTAAAATGGCAGTTGGAAAGTCGCGATCTAAGAATCAACTTCCAAGCGGATACATAGTATTAAATAGAACTCTCTTCATGTCGATCGTGGTACGAGAAATGGATAGGGTAATGTCATTCACCTCACGCAACACGTTGTAGTGGAACTTTTGATCCAGCCAAGATTGATGGCTTCATGTGAATCCACTCATTTTCCGCCAGCGGTAAACTTTCACCTTCTGATGATTGGGGGAGAGGAGATGTTCCAGCCTCATCGCCATAGTCGGTTAGACTAATTTGATGGACGAAAACATGGTGCCGTCAGAGATTTCCGTTCCGGACACTATTGCAGCATAGTAAGCAATGTTATTTACATTAGTGCACTCAGTATAGGAGACGTCGGTGTTGTAGTTCGTAGATGGGTAACAAACATCTCCAATCGAACACAACCAATTGGAGTACCATCTGTAGGAGAGGTTTATCCAATGAAAAGGGCTATCCTTTTTGCTTAAATAAATGCTTAGTGACTTTCAGAATGACTCGAAGAAGCGTTCCATATACTGGGGTCCACGTTACCGCAGTTATTGGCGAGCAACTTGGACTCTGCAAAACTTGCAATCTTAACAAGAAACACAACGGTCTTGTAGCAAGAAAAGATTAGAGTCGTTTTCTTCACCTAGACAATGACCATTAATGTCGGACATCATAAAACCACGGGATAAGGGATTTTCAATCTCAAAATTCCCTGACTGTATGAAGATGCAACTGAGATGAAGGCTGAATATGTAAATCAAATGTTTTCTCGCAGCCGGAGTAATACTGTACAAATAAGTATTCTGCAAGGAGGAATTCATTCTGCCTGTAGGGAAATGCTCCCTCTTAGTTGCTTATTTATTTGTTTATCTTGGAGCGCATGAACAAGATGCACCACAAGACCGTGAACATCGAGCATTCTTAGTGATCAAACCCTCTTTCAGCGCACTACTGATTGACAATTCAGTTAATGTGAAAACTGAAGTAAGCATTGAACAATAAGCGCTGACAATAAACATTTCACCGAGAATCGCAGTGGATTTTTTGCTTGTGGAAATTATGCAGGGCGTTAGTTGGTTGGATTGGGAATCGCATACTGACAACCGTGACAGCAGCTTACGACCTAAAATCTCTTCATGGAAGAAAGATTACTTCTTGAGTTGTATGGTCTATAGGTCAACCTACTTCGTTTTTAAGTTTTATTTAGTTGGAGCTGAAGTAAAAGAGTATGGCAGTAGCAAGCTATTTAGTTCCGATTCCTCGGAGCCCCTTTGCGCTAGGCATCATGATATGCGTGGGAGAGTACGGCGGTGTCTGAACCGCAACTAATTCGAAACAGCAGCTAGATTGAAATGGCTGACCAGCATATGCCAGTGGCGACCATATGACGAAGTGGTTTAAATATACTCAATTATCCTATTTATCCAAAAGAGTGGAGGCACTAGTACGCGCAATTACTGGGACTCCTCAATAAGGGCTTGAACAGCGGCTGGCAGTCTTTCTGATAAAACAATTACAAGCGGTAAATTCTGTCTTATCAAGGAAGAGGACGTTGAATAATAAATTTTGAAATTGAAGGTAAATTGATATGAAGGGATGTTTAAGTGCAAGTAATATGTGGAATCATCAGTAGATCAGCGACGTTATGTCCCTCAGTAAACTATGAACCGATCGGAGTAAACCAAGTGATCTTGGAGCAGTTCATGGAAAATCGTTAACTTTCGACTTTCAGAAAAATGGCATATTGCTGTGTATACGGAGGCCCATTTCCATATTTAAAAAGGTCAGAAAGCCCAACTGCCCGGTAAGCTTTGTCACCACTATGAGGCAATGTGTCCGCTTACGGACCTTAAGTTTAACATATCAAGTCAAGTTGGGTGAAATGAGCAATATCAAATGTCTCTAACTGTAGAATTCCAACATCGTGAGTACAAGAATAGTAAGTTGAGCATGTCACTATGTTTGACTATACACCGCGGGGAGTCACATAGGAATCGACTATGACCGCCCAAACGCTGAAGCCTACAATTAGCGTTAATAATCTCCAAAATTCTGGTTTCTTTTATAGTAAACTTCGTTGGTCAGGGATTTGATCAATAATATACATATATATATACTTGTTCACTATAAAAAATTATTAAAGCTCAATAGTGCTAATAGCACGTACAAATCAACCAAACGATTGTTAAATGTCATCTGTTTCATACCTAGCTGTATCGGATTTTCTAGACAATATACATATATATATTTATAGTCTTTCGGTTACTTAACTGTTGTTGAAGATGCTGTACACGCTAAACGATTCAGTGGAAAAACTTGGTTCTGCGGCGGTTGTCTGATGCGTCTTTGCAACAATGGCCAGCATACCATCGTGTATGGTTGGGTTAGGGGTTCACTGAGGCGACGGATGCGAATTGTTCATTTCTGACTGTGTTTTGTCACTGAAGCGGTACTCACATCCAATTTATGCAGCTGGATAACGAACCGTAGCGTGCCGTTTTCATTAATGTCAAAACCGAGATCAGCTTGTGTTTCACCCAAAAACCATGCGTCTCAGTTCATTTTGTCCGCTATTACCTGGTCCTTGCAGATGCATATCTGCCATATATGTCTGTTTCATGGGTTGAAATCATGCTTACGTTAGCCTCCAATCAAGGACCAGTTAGTCTACTTGAGTTTGCTGGACATTGCAGTTTTCAGTGCATTCACTTAACAGGGAAGTACTCGCTGATCATGCTCACTGCCGTCGAGAATAGGAATGATTCTTTTCCCATAGATAAACCGTGTTGTCCTCTCGCAACACTATTGCTAGCTCCCGGTTTTACAAACGCTTACACTTATCAGACAGAGATAATAGGACTGCGACTCGAACCCGGGGACATTCGGAGTGTTAGCCATAGCGTCTACTCCAAGCCACCTAGTTGCGGCTGGTAACGCTGTGTGGCAGATGGGTAATAGCCAGCATTCATCTATCTCAGGTGTTGTCCCATTGACCGAATTGACCCGAATTCGCATCACAGTGGATCCTGGTCCAGGTTGAGATTGCTTGTTGCAATCCATTTATGCAATGTGCGCTCTCAAGACGACCACCCCCAGTCCTGCTTTGCAAGCCTATACCAATCTGCCACTTGAATTCACAAGGATAAACAACGGAGCAGGCAACTGTCACAGATTTCCAAGGACACAGCAATCGGGATATTAGAATACTGTAGACGATAGGTAGATAAGCATAAGTTGGGAGTAAATTGTGAAAACGGAAGATTTATTTGAATTTTGTGGTGCTGCTACCCAGGCCAGCTTGGCGACCAACCACATGACCAGGAGCACTGGTGAGGCTTCTTTGTTCTTTAACACTTGGCCCATATAATATTCCTGCCACTAAATTATTACACTTCATCTAGCCTCATATTAACTCGACTCTGCACTTCCCTTGGGTTAAGTTGAGCGCGAAATGATATGAGGAGCAATCTACTTGCTACCTCAAGTTTGAGTGTTCTTGCAACACTCACTAGTGAATCGTGGTTTCGGGCATGATTGTACAAAAGGTTATATTTAGCACACACTTTAACACGTGACTGCTTCACATGAACATGAACAATTGAACCTCGGATGCACAACTTTGCATACTTCCATAACATGAGTCTATTATCACCGTAGTCACCGAGGCTGCAAATGTGCCCGCATCTAACTGAACGGTCGCTATTTTGGCCACAGGTTACGACTTGCATTTTCGATAGGCCTTCCGCTTTACAACCATCAGTGCAGGTATTGTTGGGCTGGTTACTAGAATGTCTCTGTGCTTCACCGAGTTACTCGTCAAAGGAACGCTATAGGGCCGAGAAAGCAACGGCACGGCTACATGCGACTTTCTCGCTTTCTTTTAACCTGTAGTCGTGTACATCCATAGACGGAATTACTAGCATGTACAGACATTACGAATAAAATCCCATTTACAAAAGTTATTTATAACTGAGCTGAAGCGAGGTGTAACATATGTGTTTTAATACTTTTTCAGACTAAACACTTTCCACAGTACCCAGCTGTTCATTGGAAACAGCTGAGCGCCAAACACAGCGGACCAAATGCAGTCTTCGTCCACCGCACGCCCATTTACACTGAGGGACTTTCTTGTGCTCAGTGATCCGAAATCCACCGGTGGAGTTTCCTATAACACCGCAAACAGCTCTCATGCATTCAACACTCCTTACACAAACCCCACGTTTTCCATAGCACCGACCTACGCATTACAGACTGAATTTCCCAACCGATCACACCCACATCTCGGCTATCCAGAAAAGTTTACTCCTTTACCTCATCACACTTCCACCTCAGTGTCTTCAGACAAAATGTGCATCCCAATGAGAATGGGTTCCATAAAAATGGGCACAGATTCCAGTGCGGGTCAATTTCGTCCCCCTCTCCGACGATCCAACACCGTTGGCGCTAACGAACTTGAAGAGCGGTTGCGCAGGGTAAACTCTGTCGCTTACAGTTTCCAGGGCGGTTCCTATACCCATTCCAGACCTTCATTCTCATGGATGCAGCCACATGCCCAGCATACGAACAGACAATTTTCAGAGGACAGGTACGTGGCACACATGGTCCAAGAGGTACCCAGCTCGCAAGATTTACTCAAGCAGCTGTTGCTCCGAGGCAAGCAGGTAGGAGTGGACATTGCTCTCCCGCACAATGCTCTGACTCACGTAGGACAGTCGCCAACGGAACGAGTGATGCGCCGTCTAGGCACCATGAACACAAGCAGTTTGGATCGTAATGCGCAACCTTCCGATGCCATGAATCAGGTTGAAAGGTTAAGGGGAACGGGACCAATGGATAGGATCGAATATCCAGCCTCTTCCATGGCAGCAAAAGGTAGGTAAGTATCGAGTAGTTTCCGAATGTTTGAGCACATTTCTTTATTCGCACTTCTTATTGTGTTACAGAAAGATTGCTGTTCAGAGTACAAACGAGATGTTGCATGCGAACACTGAGATATATTTACATCCGTTTGGAGCAAAGGCTCATGCTGCTGACATTTTATGTGAAAGTATCATGTGCTTGTTTGCCATTTTTTCATTAGGACATAAGCAGATTAGATTTAGTGTGCAGGTCCACATCTCGTGTACCTCTACAGTTACGGCCTTGAAAGGGACCTTGAAATCATGTGGAATACTGAAAGCTAAGTGTAGAGAGCGAGTCGATATAAATCTGTGTTGCTTCATGGATAGTTGATGGGGCACTAAGGCCAAATAAATTCATTTGCCATTGCCAATTGTCTACATAGTTCAGTGATGCAATGTCTTATTCAGACATGACGTACTCTATATGCATATAACATACAAACTGGAGTCCTAGGCATTTCTTCAATTATTACACTGAATTTTTCTATACTATTGTCTCAGGCAACCTGTTGCAAGTTGTCACCGACCGACTCTCGAAACATAATGTGTGAGCTATAATCTACGGGTCCGGAACCGAGCATGTCCCGGGTACTTTCGAGAGATGCTTGGTGCGCGCACTTGCAGAAGCGGCCTCAGAATAGGGAAGTTACTCAGATATCATATCTGGTCCCTCATTAGGCGATCCACTCGAAACTGACGACAGTATCCTGCATTATTCTTTGCACGACATACCTCTTAAACTGGGAGTGAGCCTGGTAGCGACATACTGAACACTATAAACACAACTTTGCATTTCTGCGTAACTTGGTCTACTAATTGGATTCCATCAAGCTATGAATTGCACCAATAGCAAGAATGCTTTCGTTCGCAGTGTTAGCGAGCCCCAGTTTCGCATTTGACATCGATCAGTTCTACTAGTTCATCCGGATCGATGAAGGGATGTTCCATTTCTGGGTAACGCGCAATTAGGATACTCTACCCGTGTTCTCAAAACCGACATTGTTCACAAAGCTAAATGCAACAACATAGGGTGACAGATAAATTCCCAATAAATAATATTCGTAGGATAATAACGACTGACTGTGGGTAGTTTCAAGCTTCTACTTCACGGGTTCTCAGCAGGACACTGTCGTAAGGCATGTAACGTACACCAAACTAAAAGTAGTAACGCCTACCTCTGAGATGAAGAGCATTTACACGATTTGCCGTGCCATGTCGCTTCATCCAGGTGTTCTCATCGTATCTTGTCAAGTGGGTCCGAAAAATATGAGTCTGTATTGATCTTGTTGCCACGGAGACACTCAATGTTTTTGCAACAAGAGTGGAGGGAGAATCTTGGCTTGAGAACCGTGCACAGTGCGAGCAGTGACGCGCTGAATCTTGCAACGCAATCGTGACGAAACATTTTGGGATAAAACTTTGGCGAAATGCTCAAGTTTCGTCCTGCAGTGGGGTATACTGCTGGTTTCTAGTTACTGGTGCAAGTATTTAGGTTACCATATGGTCAGATATTGCTTGTGCTTAACGGACGTCGCTCATCCCCGATGTTTGCAAACTGATTCCTCTAAAACAGTTTTTGAGCGTCAAATGGTGTGATCGGTGTTGTATCTCAGAATACACTTAAATGAACGTATTTGCTGTAACTGATTGCTTATCCTAGGCGTGAAGCGAGAGATGAGATTCAGAATAAAGTTGCTGAACTCCTCATTTTTATCTACTGTCCTAACAACATTCTTTCAGACAGTGCCGCAACTCCATATCTCCGCGTGGTGTGCTGGAGCAAGATTCAATTATCTTTGTGTTCTGGGTAAATGAGTAGTAACGCGGTACCTTCGGAACCGGTTCGCGAACACGTTAAAACGAATTTCGTCGGAAGCGTGTGAATTCACACAGTGGCGGAACAGATATAGTATCTATGAAAAACAGTGTTCGTAACTTCAGATTAGTTAGTAAGTCTATCGATAAAAGTTTGTGTCCAACCACTTGTTTCCACCAACTCTGATCCACAAACAGGCCATTATTGTTCTTTTCTGCATTCCATCGTTCGCAAATGATGCACCGTTAATGGGTCTGATCTGACACAGGATGCATCCTTTTTGCACCTTGGCTGTACATGTAGCGAAGGAAGCTTACTGTCACGTTCTCGGATATATTCCCACGTAACACTTGGGTGTGGATCTCGCTGGATGAGAGAGGCTAAAAATGCTATGGTCCATTGGTACTCGTGCCAACAAAGTGGGGTTTCTAGTGCATCACCTCAAGTCTCCAATCTGCTTACGCACAAAGTACATTCAATCCCAATTCAATGGACAATATACCGTCAGCTCGATAGCGTAGCCATGCGCCACTCCATGTGCCAGTCCTGACAGACATATCTATGGTACTCCGGGGGCGTATTAAACTGTGTGCTTACATACAAAATGTACGGTTGTACAGTAGATACACTGACAACACGTTCGTTGTGGTTGTTACCGCCCAGCATATAGAGTGCCAACTTAATGTTGTGGGCAAATGCTAGCCTGCGATCGAATTCCTGATGGAAAACGAAATGGAAAACACTTTCCACTTCTTAGATATACATGTGAAGTGAAATCCAGCTGACGCCTTCACTTGCTCTGTGTATCTCAAGCGCAATTGAACAGTTCAATGTCACAACTTCAAGAGCTTCTGTTCTATAAAATAGAAAAGAGCATTGGTCCACTTCGTCTTCGCTAGTCCTTGCAAAATTGGTTCTGAAGATAAGACGGACCGTGAGTTAGTATGCGTGTCCTCAATGCTACATGAAAAAGGATACACCACAAGATTCATAGCCCGGTGTGCAAAAGCAGAAAACAGTGAGAAGCGTTTGACAGATGTCCCCAAGAGAAAGGTCCTCATCACACTATCATTTAAAGGGATGGAAATGATAGACGATTCCGACATCGCCTCCGCCAGATGTTAAGAAATTCGTATTATGCCATCGAGCTGACGTTATGGCACAAGTTAGGATATTGCTTAGTAAGTCCAACTTCGACAATCCACATCCTCATGGTGCCGCTTCTTGCTTCTATCTCTTCCACTGTACGTGGTAACAAGTACGTTGGACGAATTGTGAGACGGTCGGCCAGGAGTTCAGAGCACTTTCCGCGTAGTATGGTCGCCAACAGTTCAGAACTTCCGGTTGGCTTTCTTACGCAGCAAGAGTTTGGTGTCCTTCATACTTTGGAGGTTATCCTTAACTTACGTACCACTAGAGCTGGAAGAAGAGACTGGGTTCCGTCCTGGCCGCGGATGTATCGATCAAATTTCCACACTCATCAAGCTCCGCCAGGTGTACCAAAAGCCAACGATTGTTGCGTTCCTGCATATGCGTGCTGCCTTTAATTCTGTCGACAGGACGGCATTGTGGCACCGTATGTCGAGAAGTTCGTTTCCGTTCTGCGTACTATGTACAGTCTGACTTCGGGTACAGTTAAGGCTTATGGTAAGGTTTGACACTCATTTTCTGCCACCAGCGGAGTTCCACTAGAATTCCCTATCCCCTCATTTCTTTCATTTTTGCCATTAAGGATGTTCCCAAAAATGCTCTGGAAAAGCATTGACCGCAGGCGTTGAAATCTTTCTAGCTAACTGATTTATTGTCGGACTACGCTGATGATATCCTCTTACTGGGTGACGATCCACATGCCGTCCAACTTGCACTTAGCCACTTGGCGATTGAAGCGTCAAAGTAGCTGATGGCTTTTTCCTCATCCAAATGCAAAGTATTTTTTTCAAGACCTTCAGATGCCTGTACTTGCACCCACTTTTGGCGGCGAGACAATGGTGGTAGTGGATGGTTTCTGTCTACATGGGAAGCTGCATGACTGCCGGTAGAGCTGTTGGAGACGAGACGTCAATGAAACGTCTCAAGAGTCCGTCTAGCTTTCTATAAGCTGATACATTTGTGGTGCCGCCAAGACATCCGTCCATGTATAAAAGTACCGGTTTTTGTCAATGGTCAATGGTCACTGGTATGTTGCGGATAAAAGAGGTGGAAGCCTGACATATCCCGCCGAATGATCGGTTAGGGGTGGGCAAAATAAAGTCATCATCATCATCATAATACATGTCAGCTAGAGGTGGTGAAACACCTCCGCTATTGTACCGCAATACAAAGGAAAAACATACATGCAATACATAAAGGAAACATAAATACGACAGTTGCATGCCAGCTGAGCTACCAGCAACGGATAGGCATCGTTCCGGTAAGCTACTAGTCAGCTACTAGGCAAAAAGCAAATTTAAAAAAAAATTGTTTTACCCTATGAAATGAGATCGTAGATGGAGGGGGAGGATAAAAGGGATGGGGAGGGACAAAGAAACTCACAGCATGAACGCTACGGAGGTCGGCTCCTTGCCATGTCAGCATGTGTATCCAGCCAAACGTGTTCACTGTCTTTTGGACCCCAACCAGGGAGCCGTAAAGATCCGACCGAGGCTAGCTCCGAAGTGAGGGACTTCATTCCCCTGGACCAAGTCATCGTTTGGCCACCTCTCCTCTTCTTCCACCCACCTCCCCGGTGACCAAACAACGCACGTCGAGGGAGTTAGTGGGCTGGCATGCGCAACACGTGGCCCAGCCATCGGAGCCTGGTGCGAGAAATAACGGTGCTGAGCGGTCCATTCCCTTTTTCTGGGCCGTAAACAATGCGTCGAACACGCTCGTTACTCACGCGGTGTTCCCACCAGATGTGAGCCAAACTGCGAAGGCACCGGTGGTCGAACGTAACTTGCCTCTTCATGTCCGCTGATCTTAGGGGCCAGGTTTCGCAACCGTACAGTAAGGTCGAACGTACCGCTGCATTGTACACTCTACCCTTCAGGGCGAGAGTAATGTCGCGCCACCGCCGTAGGTGGCGAAGGTTAGCAAAAGCACTTCGAGCTTTCGCTATACGGTTCGTGATCTCGTTTTCGATCCCAAGGGCGCTGATACAACTTCCCAGGTAATTGAATT